TTGAGCCCAAAAGTCCTGTCCTAAATCAAACTTAACCAGGCATCAAATGAGCAAGAAAATATTACTGAAAATAAGGAGAAATCACACACAATAGACAGACAACAAGGGATCTGATTAATGGAGGCAAATAATTTTTAAAAATATTCTGGAACTGAATACTCAAAAACACATTAAAAACTCAATGGAAAAATAACTTTATGGATAAAGAATATACAATACAATAGAATAGACACTGCTGAAGAATTAATACCATGAAAGATAGGTTTACATTCAGATAAGAAGAGATAAAGGAAAGAAAAGACAGAAAAGAATGTCAAGAAATGTTATATATGATAAGATACATAGGGAACTGAGAGATTTAATAATAATAATTGGAATCTCAAAAGGGAAGAATATTTGAAGAAAAAAATGGCTGCGAATTCTACCAAAATGAGAAGACATCATACCTCAGAATCAAAATTGTCCAGAAATACAAGATAAATCCACAGAGAGAAAAAACAATCCAAGTTCTATCAAGTAATAATTGATGGGAACCAAAAAAAGAAAATTTCTTAAGCGATCAGAAAAAAATCTTTGCCTTCAAAGAGGAGGAAAACTTAAAATTAACTCTCGAAAACAACAAAGACTTAGAAGACATTGGGATGGTATCTTTAGAGTGCTAAAAAGAGAAAGATAGAAAAAAATGGCCTCTCCATCCAGAATTCTACATTTAGTGAAAATGAAGAAAGCTGGGCATGATGGCACATGCCTGAAATCCCAGCTACTTGGGAGGTGGAGGCAGGAAGATCTTAAGTTAACAAAGTTAGCAAAGCCCTGGGGTAGCAGGAGAGGAGAAGAGGGGGAAGAAGAAATACAGACATCTTCAAACAAAAATGCTCGAATTTCTCAACAAAAGAACTGTACAAGGAATGTACTGCTTTGGGCTAAAGGCAAATGATCTCAGATAAAGCACAAAACTGCTAGAAAGCAGGGAGAACACAAGAAAAAGAAAATATTTAGTTAAATATGCAGTCATCCTGTCTTGTTCATGGATTTATTATACACGGGTTTGACCAAGTAGGGTCAAAAAAAAATTCCCACATGCACATTACACAGTGCAGTTGACATATATATTAGTCGGTCCAGCATTAACATCAGTTGTGTTTAAACTCTATGCATCCTGCGCATTCAAGGTTTTTCCTCAATGGCAGTCTCCATGGGACCATATATTCGCTGATACCCGGATCTACTGTACAGCCTACTGGCTGTCTAGAGCTATATACTACAGATGTCTTGTGGGGTTTAGAACCTAGGGAGAAGAAAACATGATAACAACACACAGGGTAGAAAGTAGTGAATGGAATGATATTGTTATAATTTAACTCTTAAGTTCCTGCATACTAAGGTAAAATGGATTAAACATTTAAACATAAAATGTGTAAAAGTACTAGAATGCATGAGCAGATTCTGTATAATCATGAAGTGAAAAGAAGTTTGTGTGCCTACAAATGCCATAAAGTACGTTTAAACACACAGATTAATATACCAAAATGTATTGGCTGGCAACTCATATAATAAGCAAACATCATTATCTCTAAAATATAAAGAACTAACTAGATACTGGGCAGGAAGATGGCAGAATCCTAAGAGAAAAATGGTCAAGAGATTTTAACAGAAAAATAAATACAAGATACTCTTAGATACCCTAAAAGATATACAACTTCATAATGAAGAAAACTGCATGTGCAAACCATACAAAATACTACTTTTTAATCTATCTGTCCCTCATAATCAAAAAGTTGAACCACATATTCAATGGGAGAAGCCACAGAGTAACAAGCATTCTCATTGTCAATGAGAACACAAAATGATATTATCTCTAGAACAGACAGTTCCCCTAAGCTGATTAAGTTCTAATCATTAATTATTAATTATTAGATGAATTCATCTAATAGATAAATTAATCCAGTGCATTTATGTACATACATCACACGAATAACTTGATACATACATATAAACATGTGATGTGTGTACAAGGTTATCCATTACAACATGGTCTGCAACAGCAAAAGTTTGGAACTAGTCTAATAAACTTGGATATCTACACTTGAATTACCATGCAATTGTAACAAGAAGAAGCAATCCATGTTCTGTCACAGAAATCTCTGAGATATACTGTTAAGTAAAAAAAAAGAAGAAGAAGAATGGAAAATAGTGTATAGGCTTGCTAAAGGGCAGTCCCCTGAGCAGAACTGCCTTCAGCTAGTAGCTTATTAGAAATTCAGAACCCAGCCAAGCATGGTGATACATGCCTGGAATCCCGCATTTGTGAGCCTAAGAAGTATCAAGTGTTCAAGGCCAGCCTGGGCTACAGATCCGTATCTCAAAAAACCAAGGGGTAGGATGTAGCTCGGTGGGAGAGCACTTGCCTAGTATAGTATGCAAAAGGCCCTGGGCTCAATTCTCAGCACCACAAAAAAGGAAGAAAGGGAGGAAAGGAGAAATTAATTCAGCATCTAGGTCCCCACCTGCATCTACTAAATCAGAACCTGCACGTTAACACTGTGCTAGGGATGCACAGGTGCATGTAAGTTTGAGACACCCTAAGGACAGTGGGTTACCTCTAAAATAGAGAAAGGCAGTATGTAAGAATATGCATGCACATTTTCTTATGACTTGATAAAGAAATACTGGAAGAAAGATGAGAAACTATTTAAAAATGGGTAACTGTAGTTAAGGTGACCATACACTCCAGTTTGTCTGGGGCTGTTCCAGCATAATTATTTATAGAATCTCTTTTATGATCAGTGAAAATGTCTCTGGAGGATAAATATCACCCTTCCTACAGGGAGCATCAGGAATGAAGAGAGAGCACACCTTTTTTGCATCTTTTACTTACTTTTTTCTGATATTTTTTATCAATATATTCACTTTTTAAAATGTTCATGTACTACTAATTCAAAAACATTTTTATTAAGAACCTCCAACCCCAGGAAACCAGAGAGTAAAACAGAAGTGCAGTAGGTGAAGGATGGGAACCTAAACATAAACAATGCCTGGGGCAAAAGGAAAAGATGCCTTTATGAAGGCTGGAGAAGAAGCCAGTTAGAAATGGAGAGCTCATAGCATGGTGTCACTGACACCATCAGGGGACATTTGAAAACGAACTGTGGTCAATACTATCCAATGCTACTGAACAGTAAGGCAAAGATTAAAAACATCCACTGGTCTTGACTATGATTTGGTAGCCTTTTCAAGGATGGATTCGGGTGAGTGATGGTGATGGACAGGGCTGTACCTATCAGGTTGAAATGTAAATAAGAAAAACAGAAACATAAGGCAGAACTGCCTGGAATTCTACCTAAAAACAGGAATGAGTTGACACAAACATTTAAGCATGTGGTACTGAGCCCCTCCATTCCTTCATACCGTCTAGTAGAACATCAGAGAGCAGTCTATTCAAACCTCAGTGTTTGGTTGTCTGAAAAGTATAGGCACTGAGTTCTCCTGTCACTCTTCCTTCCACCAAGAAATACTTACAGACAATATATCATATTAATTTCATGGTTATTACTAGGACAATCACAGAGAAAACTTTATATTTGGATAATCCTGTAAAATCAAAAAACTGAAAAATATGAATCTTTAAGACAAATTGGGAGTAAGTACCGAAAAACTCACCTGGGATTTGTTCATTTTCCACTCTTAGTGGAGGAGGGAGAGCTGGAGAAGGAAGGAAGAAGGATGTCAGGAGAGACTTGGACTGCCTTGCAGTTCCTGGATTCACTTGCCTAAATAGCTCCACAGAAGATACTTACATGTCCATGTGTGGCTCCAATATAAGCTGAGTTTAGACATGATACTTTTCACTGAGTGAATGTAAACATGTCTCTTACTGATTTATTACCAATTTAGGTTCTGACAGTAAAATTAAAAACATGAAAAGATGAGTTTAACAAATAACAGTAATCTAAAGGAGGAAATGGATTTGTCAAAACTGATGTTGTAAGGGGAAAGAAACTCAGGTCACATTTTTTCATCTAACTACCTGCTAACACCATAAATCCCGTGAGGTCAGATGACCAAAGAAACCGCTGAAAAAAGGGGATGGGGGTGTTTAAGATATATTAAAAAATTTTTTCTAACTTGCTTAGCTTTTCAAAAGAATCTACCTCAAAGGAACTAACCTTAACCTAATTTCTAATCTTGGTTCTGTCATTAACTGCATGATGTGAACCAATCGCTTTCTCAGATTTTTTAATCTTCCAGCGACGTCAAAACACATAAACTAAAAACGATCTTGTGTGCAGCACCATTCTGTGCCCATCCTAGCCATAAGGCCAGGAGAGCAGGAACCTCAGCATCGCTCTATATTACCACCCTTGGATGGGGCGCCTTGAGCGGCTCGCCTCGTCAACAGTGAACAAATATGAGGATGCAGGGGGTGTTTAGAGGGGTAATGAGTGTTTCCCCAGCTCTGGCTAGTGAGCCTTTCCTCCCCGTCCAAACAGGTGGCACTCCCTGTGCGGCCTGGGTGCGCCCACCCCTCTCAGCCTCAGCTCACCTCTCCTTAAACTTGTCCCAGACCTTCCACCCGCACACAGCTTTCCATGGCGTCCGGACACTGTGTCATGATTACACACAATAAATAACACATGAGCACATAACAGATAAGGAGTAACTGGGTCCGGGGTATTTCAGGGCCAGGAAAGGGCTGTGGAGGCTAGCGAGGCCAGCCTCTTTCCTCTTCCACTTCACACACAACCCTGGGGACCGGTCCACAGGCCAGCAGCAAGGACGGTCTTACTGGAACCCTCTCAAGAGTATTACATACACAATAAATAAATATAATACACGCAAAAAAAAAGAAAAAGAAAAGAAAGTGCTCAAAACAACCCAAGCCGGCAAGTATTCTTGACATTCACATGCCAAAGAAATGAAGCTTTCTCCCGCAGCCCCGCCCCTTCCCCAGGGCCCAGCGGAACGCTTACGACAATCGTCATGCGCACGACACGTCAAACGTCACGCGCACAACGCGTCCGCGTCACAAACGCTACGAACGGGCGCGCTCCCTTTCCGCAGTCCCGCCTCCCAGCCCCACTCTCTTCCCGTGGAGCCAGCGCACACAGCACGCACGCGCATTCCCCACTCTCGGCTGTACGACGGCGCAGCCGGCTGGGCGCCTGGGTTGGAGGCGTGAGCACTCGACGAGACCGAACTAGCATTCCCAGGCTCCAGCCCCTTCCCTCACAGTGCTGCCCGGGGCAAGGGCCATCCCTCAACTGTGGACGCCTGTTGGGGGGGTCACCGCGGGATTCGCGGGGCTCCTCCCTATCGCCAGATACCCGCAGCCTCTTGCCCACCCCACCACCCCACGGAGCGTCAGGAACCCTCTCTGCCCTCGCCCAACCCTCCGGGGCTCACCCGCTGCTCCTTGCCGCGCGGACCCGGAGGCCGGGGATTGTGTCCCACGAGGGACGGGAGACTGGGGAAGGACAGGCTCAAGGAAGGCGGGTGCGCATGCGCAGAGGGAGGGGCGGTTGGTGGCTGGGAGTGGGGTCGTGGTGGCGGGCTTGCGCTGGCTTGCCGTTTTCTCACCCTTGTTAGTGTCTAGCTCCCACAGTTCTATGAGAAATAGAGACATTTCTATTGTAAACACATTTAGAATGGTGTTTGGCTTATAAATTGTTCACATTTCTCAGGATTGCACTTTCCGATATATACGCCATGCCTTTTGTCTCTTAGCAGTCACCTGGAGAGTCTCTGCTTGAGAGATTGTGATCTCAGTTACTTCTTCCTGGAGCCAGCATTCTGTCAGTGCCCCTGAGGTTGTGTCAAGCCAGTAGGGCTGTGTTTAAATTTCATTTATGGACATGGAACATTGATCTGAAAATACTGGAAAGTAATTTAAACATCTGCAGCCAGATGGTTATTCTCTGGAATAAGGAAAAAGGCAAGCCAGCAAATTAATGCTACACAATAATAAAGGAAGAGCAATGAGCAGCCCATCAATAATCCCAGCTATTCAGGATGCTGAGGCAGAAGGATGGGGAGTTTAAGGCCAACCTGGTCAACCTAGTGAGCTGCCTCCCCACCAGCTCAAAAAGAAAGTAGGGCTTCAGGAGACATCCCCAGCACTGCCAAAGAAAAAAATGAAAATTGTTCATAAGTAAAAAATATCAAACATAAGAAAGACCCTCTTCTCAGGGAACTAACCATACTTTCAAACGCACACTATTTTATCTGTACATCCTCCTGACATTTTTAGTACACTGTTGTAACAGCAATAATTGTTAGGAAAAACGCCACTCACAGAGAAAGGTCACAAAAGTCTCACGTCCATAGAGCAAAGTTTAATGGCAGGCCCAAACTGACAGGTTGGCTGGAGAAAAGATGGTGCAGCCCCAAGTCTGGGCGAGCAGTGGCTTTTATAGAAGGGGGAGGTTAAGGAAGTTAGCACATGTGCAGTAGTCTGTGGTAGGGGTGGGGCTGTCTTAGAGCAGGGAATTTATTTAAGGGCGGGGCTGCCATTTTGGTTGATTCACAAAATGGCAGCATTATGTTCTATCATTCCCCCATTTTTTCTTTAATGATGAGGGTAGGGGCTGAGGATCAGGAATTGGGGCAAAGCATCAGTCTCTTTAGCTGCTTCCTGCTGGCAGGGGGCATTGTATGGGGCAGGATCCTCAAGCTCCTGTGTCCTGGTAGGGGCCCTCATAGCAGTCCTCTGGATGGTTTTGGAGAGGTTGGTATCCCTGGAGGTACAACTGGTTGAACTTTTGATTAGTGATAGCAGACATGTAGTATGATATAGGGGAGGAAGCTTAAGAATAGGAGAGCAAGAAACATAGGCATTGGGATGGGCATTGGCCAGGAGAACCATTGTGAAATGTTGTTCCCTAGACAATTTCAAGAATCCTCCAATTCCCTTCTCCATTTTTCTAATTGTTTCTTGAGCAGTGCCACCACTGGGGGAACCCATTGAGGTTGACAGCAGTGGGTGTCATGAGAATGACCAGAAGGCTGGTCCACTGAAGTCCCAATGGAGAGGGTAGAAGATCCTTTTAGGAGAACAAGATGCCCTGGTTTAACAGAAATTAAATTATAGGATGGAGCAGGATCTGGTCTGGATGCTCTCTGAGAAGTTCCCTGAGAAGGCAGGTAGTCATAGGAGCAGTGTCTGTTGGAGCAAGTTTTCTAAGAGAAATGGGTGGCCATACATTATTTAATACCCAAATAGGAATATTAGGAGGAGCATAAAAAGGTGTCTACTCAGGGACTGCAAAATCTGCCAGGAAAGCTGTAAGCTGTCTTATGGTATGGGGGTTGGGAAACGGAAGATTGGATTGAAGCATTTATAACTCAGGGAGTGAGTCTGTCCCTTTAAGGCCACACCTAGGTAGGTGACCTGTGGGAGACATAATTGAACCTTCTCTTTAGAGACTTTGTATCACTGGAGGCCAGAAAGTTTTAAAAGGACTCAGTTGCCCTGCAGATGAGGGGCACTATGGCTCTGCATTGAAGAAGGGTGACCTCTGGATAGTGCCAATCTAATAATTCTTTGGCTAGGGTTTGGCCACAAAGATGAGAGCTGTCTTTAAATTTTTGTGGCAAAACACCAGGTTAGTTGCTATGTAGTGTTTATGGGACCTTTAAAGGCAAATAGAGGCTGACTGTCAGAATGCAGGTTAAATGTAGCACTTTTAGGTAAAGGAGAGCTTTACCTCATTATTTTATATAAATTGACACTTTTAACTTTGTAAATGTTTGTATCATATTTAGATAAAGTATAACATAGCACTGTTACAAGGTGGTCATTTAAGACACATAAACAAATATGTAAATGAACTCTGATTTAGTAATACTTAAAGCTTGACAAGATCAGCAGAAAACACAAATAATTTCTTTGATAAAATCCTCTGTAATTTTTTTTGTAGATGTTACTCAGAGCAGAACAGTACTAAGATAACCTTGTTATTTTATAGACATAGAGGATTTGATTTTAGTTTGACATGACCCTAAAAATCTTTTAGGCAACTCTTAGATTATACTCAACTTTAACTTTATTGCACCCCGAAGCTTATAATACACTTTTAAAACTTACTTAGACCTTTATGTAACATATTAAAACCTTTCATGGTTTGTCCATCCTATTTGAAACAATCTTTAGGATAAACCTTTTTTTACAAAATCCTTTCTCATCCAAAACATTTCTTTTTCCTTTAACTTCTCGAAAAATACATTTACTATCTATCTATATCATTTTAGTTGTTTACTTTGTAGCTTGTATTTTAAAATTAACTTTTATAAGAATTTTAAATTTATTGTAGGGGCTGAAGCAACTAATTAGTAGCCCTTGTTTTAAGGAATTTATGATCGGCATAAGGCCTCATCATCCCTCAGGCTTGAGGGGATATTGTTTTGGTGTGGAAACTGTGAGGGATTTTTTAGTTTTTTTTGAATAGGGAGAGCTTTCCTGGCTCACCCTACACTCATCTCATCAGCCCACACTGTGGAATCTCTTTGTTCCTGAAGGAGGAGGCAGCAGAGATAGCTGCCTGGGGGGAGGAGAACTTAAGCTTTTAGTTGAGATAGTAAATCCCATCACAGAAGGGACACTGGAGTTTTAGGTACTATGAGGACAGAGTGACAGAAGAGGAGGTATCCCCAAGAGCAGGCCAGAGGCCAGGTAAACTAGCACTCTAGGGGCTTGCCAGGTTTGCCCCAAATGATAACTTTTGTCATTGGACCGGGGACAGGAGAAAAAGGTAAAACAGAGAAATGGGCTCCACTGTCTAGGAGGAAAATGATCTTTCACTTCTCTACCATTATGACTACCTGAGGCTCCTCAATATCGACATTAATAATTGGAGCATGGACAGGAGGCCGGGACCCATAAATCCATAGGAGGTGGCACCTCACCTTCCATCTGGTGATGGGGGCACTTAGGCCTCCAGTGGTTACCCTTGCAGAGAGGGCAGGGTCCCAGTTGGGGGCAGGGCTGTCTCTCAGGCTGTTCCCCTTTAAGTATTCTCTGCAGAAGTGCCCCTCCTCTCCACCATGGTAGCAACTTCAGGATACAGGCCCCAGTCAGGTAGGGCCCTCTCTGAGAGCAGCAATGAGGCCATGGTGTCTCTTATCTTTTTCTCTCCTGTTAGTAAGGTCCCAGACATACAGACATAGCTACAAATACAGACATGGCTAGCTGTATTACTTGGTTCAATGACTTTTTCCCTTCAGCCACAGTCTTTGAGGTTTTTATGAATATCTGGGGCTGATTGTTAGAAATTTATCTTTGAGGAGAACTTCTCTCACCTGTGACTCCAGGTCCATCATGGTATGCTTTCTGATAGCATCCTTAAGATGTGTAGAAAAGTAAGAGGATTTTTTTTAGGTTGTTGCTGTAAAGTAAAGTTGTTACTTTACATTGACACCTAACACTCTAGAGAGCAGGTCTCTGAGCTGTTCTGGGCCTCAGTTTCCTCACTTGAAGAATGAGGGATCTGGTCTAGGTTAAACTTCTTTCTTCTACTATGAGATGGCTGAAGTGACATTAATGCTACTTATCTTCTTTACTATTTTTTTAATTTAGTAATGCTGGGGAATTGAACCCAGGGCTTTGCACATGCTGGGCAGACATTTTTTTCATTGAGCTACGTTTTTATCCCCAAATATATATTATATTTTCCTTTTATAGAAAAGGTCTAACTGGAGTATGGTATTGTAACTTAAGGAACCCTGTGAAGGCCACTTCTCTTGGTCACCCAAGGCATATTGAGGCCAGGCCTCAGTACAAAGCTTTTAATATTTTTTTAATGTTTTAATAGATAGGCCAGAAGACTGGAATGGGGCAGGTCCATCTAGAAAGAATGAAACAATAGGATCCCATCTTTAGGTAACAGCAGGCTGCCTCTTTAATAAAGGCTACCTTTTAAACAAAGAAATAAATCATCTATAAAGTTAGAGAAGGACATTTAGAGGGCATCTCAGGCCAATAACAGTACCATATGGGACAACTAGTGTTAATATTTGGAGGGAAAAAATTTATGTTGAGGCCAAATGTATAGAAAATTTTAAATAAGTTTAGAGACCACAGTAATGTCTATTTTGTTATTTCTGGAACTATAACCTTGAGCTAACAATTGGCTTACAAGGGCTGGGTCTGCAGGAACTAGAGAAAAGTTTAGATCAAAAAGAATTAACCTAGAAGGTAACACACATGCACAGGAAATTAATGTGAGTCAACTCCCTGTATAGCTATCCTTATCTCAACTAGCAAAAACCCTTGATCCTTCCTATTATTACTTATACTCTCTCTTCAACAAAATTAGAGATAAGGGCAAAATAGTTTCTGCTGGGTATTGAGGGGGTGGGGAGGAGAGGGAGGGGGTGGAGTGGGTGGTAAGGGAGGGGGTGGGGGCAGGGGGGAGAAATGACCCAAGCATTGTATGCACATATGAATAATAAAACAATAAAAAAATTAATTAAAAAAGAAGGGCTGGATCTGATGTCCTGAGGTGTGAGGTGGGACTAGGAGCAGGGTGTGTGCAAGGCACCAAGCCCTCTACACACACCCAGGACAAGTGAGCCTGTCTGCCTAGGCCTGATCC